CACGTGCTCGACGCCAGTGATGAGGAGTGGTGGCAGGCACGGCGGGTCCACCCCGACAGCGAGGCCGATGATATCGGCTTCATCCCCAGCAAACGGCGGTGAGGCTCCTGGGGCCTGCAGCCTTCCTGCCACAGGGGCTCCAGTCCCAGGGGTCCCCGGGCGGACAGCAGAGGCCACGGACGGGCCTGCCCTCTGACCCCTCGGAGGCCTGTCTGCTGGGCAGCCTCCCTCCCGTGAGCCTCTGGAGCAGACGTGTCATTGAGGAGTACTGGGGCCCAGGGGCCGCCGGGAGGTGGTGTTATCAGCTGGTCCGGGGGAGGGGAGGGCTCTAGGGCCCCTCAGTGGCCATTCCCCTACCCTCCCATCCCCCCATGTCCCCCACAGGGTCGAACGACGGGAGTGGTCAAGGTTAAAGGCCAAGGTAGGTGGGGGAGCGAGCTCGGGTGGAGGAGCGGGGGACTCGGGGCTGAAGCCCACCAAGCACGTGGCCCACTCCTTCTGTTCTTCCTCTGTAGGATTGGGGCTCCAGCTCTGGATCACAGGGTAGGTAGGGTCAGCTTGCGAAGCGGGGGTGAGGGAGCCCTGAGCTTCTCTTGACATCTCAGGAAGGCCACATGGGGCCCCAAGATCCCTGTCTCCCAGCCCCTCGCAGACGCCCTGCCTCCCACTAGGTCGAGAAGACTCCGTTCTGAGCTATGAGACGGTGACGCAGATGGAAGGTGAGTCCTGGCCCGACCCCGGTCCCCAGGCCCAGCTGCTCCCCAGCTGCTCCCTGCCCGGCTGCTCCCCAGCTGCTCCCTTGCCCAGCTGCTCCCCGGCCCAGCTGCTCCCCGGCCCAGCTGCTCCCTGGCCCAGTTGCTCCCCAGCCCGGCTGCTCCCCAGCTGCTCCCCAGCTGTTCCCCGGCCCAGCTGCTCCCAGCCCGACTGCTCCCCAGCTGCTCCCCAGCCCGGCTGCTCCCCGGCCCAGCTGCTCCCCACCTGCTCCCAGCCCGACTGCTCCCCAGCTGCTCTACAGCCCGGCTGCTCCCCAGCTGCTCCCTGGCCCAGCTGCTCCCTGGCCCAGTTGCTCCCCAGCCAGGCTGCTCCCCAGCTGCTCCCCGGCCCAGCTGCTCCACAGCCCCCAGCTGCTCCCCAGCTGCTCCCTGGCCCGGCTGCTCCCTGGCCCAGCTGCTCCCCAGCCCGGCTGCTCCCCAGCTGCTCCCCAGCTGCAACCCCGCCTGGCTGCTCCCTGGCCCAGTTGCTCCCCAGCTGCTCCCTGGCTCTGCCCCCCAGCCCCGGCCCCCAGCCCCGGCTGCTCCCCACTCTGCCCCCGGCCTGAGCTGGCTCTCTGTCCTCAGTGCACTATGCTCGCCCCATCATCATCCTTGGGCCCACCAAGGACCGAGCCAATGATGACCTTCTGTCTGAGTTCCCCGACAAGTTCGGATCCTGTGTTCCCCGTGAGCGCCCGGGCCCTGGGGTGGGGAAGGGAGATGGGGGCGGGGCCCATGGCATTGGGGTGCAGGAGGACACAGGGATTCTCAGAGAAGGGGTGCTTCTCATCTGCTCTGCTGCCCCATTTGGAGACCTGGGGGCCCTGGAAGGGGTGTGGGGGGAGGTGGCCCAGCCCCTCTGAGTCTCGGTCTCACCAGCAGCCCCCTTGCGCGGTTTGATGTAGGCAGGCTTTAAGCTAGAGGGACGGTGGTTAGATCTTCGGGGGGCGGGGTGACTTCCTGGCAGATACGACGCGGCCCAAGCGGGAATATGAGATAGATGGCCGGGATTACCACTTCGTGTCCTCCCGGGAAAAAATGGAGAAGGACATTCAGGCGCACAAGTTCATCGAGGCCGGCCAGTACAACAGCCACCTATATGGAACGAGCGTCCAGTCCGTGCGGGAGGTGGCCGAGCAGGTAGGACCCGCGGGCACCCGGCCTCTTCCTCCTCCCCCGCCCACCCCATGGCCTCCCCCCCGCTCTCTCTAACTCTCTCTCTCTCTCTCTCTCTCTCTGTCTCTTTCCCTGCTGGGTCTCCACTCCCTCCTCCGCCTCCTTCTCCTCTCGGGCAACTCTGTCTGACTGCCTGCTCCCCCTGCCTCCCTCCCTCCCTGCCTGACCCCAAACTCTTCTCCGCCATCTGTCCCCTCTCCCCCCCCTCCCTCATCCCTGCCCCACTTCTCCTCTCTTCCTGTGGCCTTGCCCTTGGTGGCTTGGCCTTCCCACCTTGGTGCCCTCCCTCTGTCTGGCTCCCCTGTGGCCCTCTGGCCTTGCCTGTTCCTGGGGCCTCCACCCCCCTCTCCCGCTCCCCTGCCACCTCCTTTTCCCTACTGCCCCCCACTCTGCCCTCTCTCCCTCCACGGCTCCTTTCTCCATCTGCCTCTTCTCCCTCCCACCTGCCTCTCCTTGTTTCTTCCATCTGTCTGCCCCCCCCCCATCCTACTTCCCTTCTCCCCCTTCCTCTCTCCTGCTTCTGCCCTCATCCCCTCCACCCTGTTCGCTGTTGCCCCTCTGGCCTTGCTCTGCCCCGTCTTTTGGGTCCCCTTCCTGCCCATGCCTCACCCCTCCGTCATTACCTCCAATCCTCTCCTCCCGTGCTGGCTTCTTCCCTTGCTCTCCATCTGCCCCTTCCTCTCTCTGTCTTTAACTCTGTCTGTTCTCACCTCCTTCCCACCTTGACTCTCTGGCCACGTGTCTTTTGACATCCATGTCACCTCCTTTTGGCCAATCTCCCATCCCCCACCTTTCCACTTACCGCGTCCTGTCCTGGCACCTCTGTCCGTCCTTTCCTGCCACCTGCTGGTCCCCCTCCGCCCCCCCTGCCTGCCCCCAGGGGAAGCACTGCATCCTCGATGTCTCGGCCAATGCCGTGCGGCGGCTGCAGGCGGCCCACCTGCACCCCATCGCCATCTTCATTCGCCCCCGCTCCCTGGAGAATGTGCTGTGAGTATGGTCTCGGGGGGGTGTGGCCTCCCCCCCGCCCCCCCCCCCCCCCCCGCATCTGTGGCCCTGGGCCTGTGTCCAGCTCTCCCCTCAGAACCTTGGACAGCAGCCCCAGCCGCCCTCCAAGGGGACCAGGCCTGTCCCTTCCTCTCCAGCCTCGGGCTGGGCCAGACTGCAACTCCCAGCAGCCCCTGGGGCATGCACCTGCTGGCCGAGCAGGGCCCCCGGGGCTGTCGGGAGTTAGAGTCTGAGGCTGAAGGGCCGGAAGGATGAGGCTCTGGAGAGGTTCCCGGAGCGGCCGCACCCGGCCGGGGTGGGTCGCGCGGTGGGGTGGGGGTTCATTGGTGGCCCCGGAGACGACACGGGGAGTTGTGTCTTTCGCTGCGCGCTCCCAATCAGAAAACACTGGTTGCGACTGAACTTGCCGGGACGGAGGAGGTACGAGGTGGGGCGGGACCCGTGCTCAGATCTGCGTCTCCCTCGCTCTCCACAGAGAGATTAATAAGCGGATCACAGAGGAACAAGCTCGCAAAGCCTTCGACAGAGCCACCAAGCTGGAGCAGGAATTCACAGAGTGCTTCTCAGGTGAGGCTGTGGCCCTTGCTCAGATCCCAGGCCGGTGCCGCGCCCGGCGGACGATTGAGAAAGGCGGCCTCCCTGGGTGGGGGGCAGCCCCACCGCTCGGGGTTTGGAGAGTCAGAGGAAGGGGCCCCTCCCTCGCTCTGGCCTCATTCCCCGGGCCCCCCCCCCCCCGTCCCCCCAGCCATCGTGGAGGGCGACAGCTTTGAGGAGATCTACCACAAGGTGAAGCGTGTCATCGAGGACCTCTCAGGCCCCTACATCTGGGTCCCGGCCCGAGAGAGACTCTGACTCCTGCCCTGGTGTGGCCTGAACTCGCCCTGTCTCCGGCCCCCGGGCCCTTGGTCTGGACTGAATTGCCCAAGCCCTGCGCACCCCCTGGCCTCCCTCCCGTCCCTTCTTATTTATTTCCTTTCTAACTGGATCCAGCCCTGGAGGGGGGACACTCCCCTGCATGTAACCCCGCACCCCAGAACTGGGCTCCTGAACCCCAGGAACCTGGGGTCTGGGGAGGAGCCGGGCTCCTGGTCCCGAGCCCGTGCTCCGTAGGACCCTAGCCCCTGCCCGCCCCCGACGCACACACACACCCACCGGGGGCCTCCTGCCCTCCCCCATCTTCTCCCACACACATTCCAGAAGTCAGGGCCCCCTCAAGGAGCACCCCGCTGCAGGGATGCAGGGCCACAGGCCTCCTCTCTCTCCTGAGGCCAGGTCTGGGGTCACCCCTGCCCCCATCATAACTCCCCATGTCCCTTGGTTTCGCATTTAGTTTTTCCCATTTTTTTTTTTCTTCTCAAAGGTGGTTTTTTGGGGGGATAAGTGGGGGGACTCTACTGTGGGCCCCCTGCCTTCCACATGCTCCCCACCTTTTTTTCTTTGCCGGTTTGCATGAGTGGAAGGTCTAACTGTGGCTTTTTTTTTTTTTTTTTCTGGGGTTTTTTGGGGATTTTTGGGTGGGGGGGGTGGGAGTGTGGGGGGTGGGGCCGGGGTTGGGGGTCGGGAGCCAGGGGAAGACTGGAAATGCTGCCGCCTTCTGCAATTTATTTATTTTTTTCTTTTGAGAGAGTGAACGGAAGAGACAGATACTTGAAACCTGGTGTGTGGCCTGCTTATTTGGGAACTGGGTGAGGAGGGAGACAGGGTGGGAGCATATGGAAGGGCCTGGTAGTCAGAGCTATCTTCGTGTCAACCCAGAGAGGGGACAGTGGCCTGGAGGGGGCCTTGGAGGGAAGCTGAAATCAGGGACGGTGGGTCAGCAGTGAAGTAGGGGCCTGGGAGGGGCTGGAGGCATGGTGCAGTCACCGAAAGGCCCAGAACGAGGAAGCCAGACCGGCGTAGGTCCCTGCCGACTTAGCCCAGCCCTGATCACTCTCCTGGTCCTGCTGGACAGCAAGACACTCCCTAAAGGAAAACACGGAGGCAAGTTTCTTGGTTCGTGTTCAGAGCGTTCTGGACAGAGCTGGGCTCTGGCCATGATGTTTACAGAGGTTTGCTAGTAAGAAATACTGTGTAAATATTCATTTATTGGATTTCTTTATGCCCCACCTCTAGGAAAATGGGACCTTGATACCAAAGATTTAATTAAAAAAAAAAAAATGAAAAACAGATGCAGTAGCTATGTAGCTATGAGAGTAAATATGACCTCTGAGCTTCCTGGTAGCCAGGGCAAAAAGGGAAATGGTCCATTACCGAGTTCTTTATTCTAAAGGAGAAAAAAATTGTGGTTCTTTTAGGGAGTCAGATTTTCCCGACCCTGTCTTGCTGCAGCTTCTCAGATGCTGCTGTGCACAGTGTCACATCTCAGCTTTTCTTCTGCCCACCGTTCATGGGCCTGACAGGTTCCCACCACGAGGGCCTCGGCTGCAGCATAGATGAGCCGTCGCTGGCACCAGCTGTGATCCTGCCCCTTTCCCCCTCTGATTCAGGGGCCCCACGGGGGAAGGCTGAGGTGGAGGGTGCTAAGAGTTGAGATGGTTAAGCCCTAAACGGTGCAGAGGGCAGTTCTGGTCGCCCCTGCTGACCGAAGTTAAGCGTTGGATGCAAAAGATCCCCCGAGGCTCAGCAGCTCTGGGGAGGATGGGATTGCCCCCCCCCCCCCCCCCGAGCTGATCCAAGGAGCAAGGTAGAGATCTCTAGTAGTGTGTCCCTGAAACCAGTGGTCCTCTCTGTGGCTTGCCCTGCACAAGACTTAAAACCCAACCCACCGATCCCGGGGGTGGGGCCCCAGGGCTGTGCGTTTCAGGAAAACCTCCCAGGTGACTCTGACGCCTCCCGCCTCCCACCTCACCGGGTGGAGCCTCGCAGCTTCCAAGGACGTTTTTCAAATAATCCTTCTTTTAGCTTGGTTCTGCGTAGGAGCAGATGGTTTGAAGCTGTGCTGATGTTCTCTACCATTGGCCAAGGGGAGGAATCTGTGAGCTGAGGAACGTGTGTGCAGGTGATGCGTCTGGGTCTAAGGGGTTAAGGAGAGTTCACCGAGAAGGGGGGAGAATCACCTAATCCTGCACGCATCACTTTCTAGATTATGAAAGTAATACATGGGCCTTAGAAAAATTGAAATAAATATAGAAATACATACGGTTCGGAAAAAAAAAAAAAAAAAAAGCTCCCTCCCTATCTCCTTCCACATACTCCTCAGAGGGAGGCACTTTGGCAGTTTGTGGTATATTCTCCCAAATCTATAAAGAGCTCATCCTTGGCCGTTTAAGGAGACCGTATGCTTGAGTGGATAGGCGCACTGGATTCCCAAACAGACTGCGGTTCAGATCCTGACTCCTCTCCACCCCCCTCTAGTTCCTTCAACAAATAACGTAGTTGGCTCTTGCTTGGTTTCAAGCTGTGTTTGAAATGCGGGGGTTGCGACCTCGGGGCCCTCAGGGACCTTGGGGTCCTTGCAGTGGGGACCTCCGACCGCAGGGGGTGAAGGGGTGCAGATGATCAAAATGACGATGGTGCTGTTAAACAAAGTGACGACGACGAGGTGCGCGTCTTTGCTAGTTTAGACGGGGTGGTCAGGGAGGCGTCTCCTCCGAGCTGCGCTGGAGTCGAGGCCTGGACGCTGATGGAGCCTGGGGCGGGGAGTGTGCAGGGGGACCGAGGAAGGGCGAGGTGGGAACAAGGTGGGAACGCTGGAGGACAGAAGGTCAGTGGGGTGGAGCGGGAGGGAGACACAGAGGAGGGGGTCTGAGAAACTAGCGCTTCTGGGCTTGAAAAGTGTCCTACGAAGCGCTCGGGCGCGGCGGGAGGGGGCGCGCGGCAGGTGGGCGTGGCGGAAGGCGAGGTGGCGGCGGGGGCGTGGCGGCGGGGGGGCGTGGCGGCAGGGGGCGTGGCGGAAGGCGAGGTGGCGGGGGAATGGGCGTGGCGGCAGGTGGGCGCCCGGCGGGTCGGCCGGGGGCGGGGCGAGGGGCGGGTGGGAAAAGGGAGAAAGCGCGGCAGGGGGCGCTAGAGAACCAGCCCTGCGGAGGCGGTGAGGTGAGGACGGGAGGTGGCCAGGCGCTGTGGCTGGGCTGAGAGCGTACCTTCTGTGAGCCTCAGCTTCCCTAGCTCGCAAACGGGGACGATAACTCCCGACCTCGCTGGATGGCCATGAGGAATGTGCAGCAGGACCCTCGGCCCGCAGCCCTGCACCTGCTAGAGAGCGGTTACCGATCATTGCTATTGGTCTGTTCTGTTACTGGTAAACGTAAGTTAAAACCTGGAAACGTGGAGTTTTATCTTTTTCCTCATTCCTTTCTTTTTTTAATGTAGATTAATTTTGAGGGCAAGAGAGAGAGAGAAAGCACAAGTGGGGGAAGAGGGGCAGAGAGAGGGAGAGAGAGAGTCCCAAGCAGGCTCTTGCACACTCAGCGCAGAGCCCCACGCGGGGCTCGATCCCGCGAACCTCGAGATCATGACCTGAGCCGACACCAGGAGCGGGAGGTCTAACTGACTGAGCCACCCAGGTGTGGTGAGTTTTACCTTTTTCTAAACGTTCACCTGTCAATAAAAGTGGGGGAAAGAGGTGTTGACCGGTCCCGGGGCACAGGATCCTGCCTGTCCCAACGCCGAGGAGTTGGAGCGTGTCTGGGTGCAGAGAACCAGGGTACAGAAAGTTCTCGCCCTGCTGCAGGGCGTATGGAGGCCCTTGAGTGGGTTCTGTCGGTTCTCACTCACAACTGTGAGTGAGCAACCTCCTTCTTGAGGCCTCGCGAGACCCCCTTCCCTTGTGGCTGCTTCTAGCACTGAGCTCCCAGCCCGGGTGCCTCGCCTTACCTCTCCTGCTTCCTCTCCACTCAGGCCCTGCTCAGCCTCTCCTGGATTCCGGGAGCCGTCGGTCACCCTCTTTGGAAAGTCAGCCTTGAGCCTTCGGTTACCTACCCGCTCTGCCCATTTGTTCGGTCACCTCCTGGCAAGGCCTTCCGGGTGCCTGACTTTGCAGCCGGAGGGCCTGAGTCGCAGTCCTAACCCTGGGGGCCGGGGAGAGAGCCAGGCAGGCACATCCCAGACCTGAGCCTCAGAGCGCTCTGCGAGGGGGTGGGCGAGGGCCGAGGGGGCTCAGTGCCCAGGTCTCATCCACAGAAGATGAGGGGCTGTCTTAACTCCACCGACACGCCAGGCCCCCAGTTCCCCCAGTTCCTTCCCAGGTAAGTCGCTAACCACCCTCTGGGAGACAGAGAGAGATGTGCCTCCCCCGCTCCCCACATTCAGAAGCCCTGGGGGGCTGGCTGAACTCGAACTAGTGATAATAATCCGAATGCAGACGGCTAGCCTGTGCTGGGCACTTAGTACGAGCCAGGCCCTGTGCAAGGCAATGCCAGCTCTCTGACATGAGCATTCAACCCACTCTCCGGACAAGGGCAAGGTGAACTCACAACTGTCTGATAGCCGCCCTTGTCCTGCTGTTCGTCTTCCCCGCCCTAACATGCTGAGGGGCGCCTGGGTGGCGCAGTCGGTTAAGCGTCCGACTTCAGCCAGGTCACGATCTCGCGGTCCGTGGGTTCGAGCCCCGCGTCGGGTTCTGGGCTGATGGCTCAGAGCCTGGAGCCTGTTTCCGATTCTGTGTCTCCCTCTCTCTCTGCCCCTCCCCCGTTCATGCTCTGTCTCTCTCTGTCCCAAAAAAAAAAAAAAAAAAAATTTAAAAAAAAAAAAAAAAAACATGCTGAGAACCCCCAGCCTCCCGTGTCCTTCTTGCTCTGCGTCCACACGCCCTCCTTACCAGCTTCTTCTCTGTTCCACTGCTAGGCTCCCCCCTTGCCCCAAAACACGTCCTTCTCTTGACTCATCCAGTGGGAGGCTCACTGTCCTCTCTCCTTGGCAGTCTTGACCGGGTATTTGGGGTGCCCAGAGCTGGCCCTAAGGGTCAACCCCACTCCTGCACTTGTGTGGTTGGCAGTCCTGGGGATCTTTCTTCCCCTTCCTTCGTGGGGGCGGGGACTCTGTTCCGGCTGCTTCCTTCCCAATGGGCCCCTCACTGGGCGGGTGTCATGGACGAATGTATGGCCTTGGGCAACATTCAAGACTCTACATCAATGTCTCCAGCCCAGAACCCTTGCGGCCTCCAGACCTGCCTCTGGCAACCTTCTGGACCCTGGTTAGGCGCGCCAATTCCCTCCCTCACTGAGCTGCCCATCTCTGACCCATCACCTGCCTCCAGGCCACGCCATTGTTTAATTACAGTCCTGCCTTTTGCCTGCAAATCTTCATGAACCTTGTGGTCTGTAGTCCCGGTCTGTAACTTTGCTGGTCAGGTGCCCCATCTGTGAAAGGTTTCTGAGCGTGTGTCCCCCAGTTTGTCATCACTCGTTCATTAGTTCTAAACACGTGGCCACCCTTCAAGATGGCCCCCAGGAAGTCTCACCTCCCAGTACTCACACCCTGAAGCGTCCGACTTCAGCTCAGGTCATGATCTCACGGTCCGTGAGTTCGAGCCCCACGTCGGGCTCTGGGCTGACGGCTCGGGGCCTGGAGCCTGCGGCGGATTCCGTGTGTCCCTCTCTCTCTCTGTCCCGCCCATGCTCGTGCTCTGTCTCTCTCTTTCAAAAATAAACACACATTAAAAGTATATGTATTAAAAATATATAAATAAATAAACCTTAAAAATATTTTATAAATATATAAATATTATGCAAATATTTTCCTGCCACACTCCGGTGGATGACCTTGTGACTTCCCTGGGGTGCATGTTCCCCATTTTTAAAAAAAAAAATTAATGTTTATTTATTTTTGAGACAATGCGAGAGACAGAGTACAAGCAGCAGAGGGGCAGACAGAGGGAGACACAGAATCTGAAGCGGGCTCCAGGCTCTGAGCCGTCAGCCCAGAGCCCGACACGGGGCTCGAACTCACGAACCGTGAGATCATGACCTGAGCTGAAGTCGGACACTCCACTGACTGAGCCATGAGCCACTCGGGCGCCCCGCATTCCCCATTTTGGAGACTACCGTGCTTCTGAGTGACCTTCAAAAATCCACACCCTGACGTTCAAGGCTCCCAGAGTGGTCCACACTACCTCTCAGTCCATTTCCCTTGTGCTACTGTTTCCTCTCCGCAGGGTCACTTGCTCATTAATTACCAATGATAAAATCCTACCTGTTTTTATTGGCCAACATTAGAGATCTCCTTTCAGGAGCTTGCCTGCCTTCCTTCCTTCCTTCCTTCCTTCCTTCCTTCCTTCCTTTTTAATGTTTTTAAGTTTATTTATTTTGAGAGAGAGAGTGAGCCGGGGAGGGGCAGAAAGAGAGGGAGAGAGCGAATCCCAGGCCGACTCTGCACTGTCGGTGTAGACCCCGCCTGGGGGCTCGAACCGTGAGATCACCACCGGAGCCCAAATCAAGAGTCTGACGCTTAACCACTTAACCGACTGAGCCCCTCGCCAGGTGCCCCCCAGGAGGAGCCTTTCGCGATCATCCCGGAGGTGAGAGTGCCAGGTTCCGAGCCCAGCCTCCTGCGTTGCTCTGGTCATGAGTTCCTCAACCGGCAGGCAAGTGTACCCAGAGGGGACAGGGTCGCTTTGTGTTGAGGCAGAGCTCTAATGGTGGCCCCCAAGATTCCATGCCGTCATCCCTGGAACCTGAGTGTGTTAAGATACATCACTCTCGTGATTATGTTATGTTATGTTTGGTTGACCTTATATAGTGCCGTGTATACACAACTGACCTTAAGAAGATTCTTCCAAGTGGACCTAATCTTTTTAATTGATTAATTAATTAGTTAATTAATCAATTAAAAAAATTTTTTTAACATTTATTTATTTTTGAGAGACAGAGAGAGGCAGAGCATGAGCAGGGGAGGGGGAGAGAGAGAGAGAGAGAGCGAGAATCCGAAGCAGGCTCCAGGCTCCGAGCTTCAGGGCAGAGCCCGAGGCGGGGCTCGAACTCACCAACCATGAGACCGTGACCTGAGCCCAAATTGGGCGCTTAACCCCCTGAGCCCCCCAGGCGCCCCTGTTGCGGACTCTGGGGGTGGAGGGCTCCCGTGACAAGGAACACGGTGGTCTGCAGGAGAGGGTGGCCCCCGGCTGACAGCCAGCAAGGAAAGGGGGACCTGAGTCCCGCAGCTGTGAGGAACTGGATTCCGTTGACCCCCTGAATGTGTTCGCAAGCTCGTTCTCCTTCTCCTTCGCCTCCAGAAATGAGACGAGGTCCTCCAGTACCTGGATCTCAGCTCTGTGAGACCCTGAGCAGACAGCCCAGTTGGACGTCTGCCCTACAGAACTGTGAGCTGACAAATAGGTGTTGTTTTAAGCCACTAAGTTGGGGGTACCTAGTTACTCAGCAAGAGAGAATTAACACAAGAGGCCCCTTGTCCCCGAAGGCCTCGCATAATTTAAGATCTCTCTCTCTCTCTCTCTCTCTCTATATATATATATATCTTTTTTTTTCTTTTAAGTAGGCTCCATGCCCAACATGGGGCTTGAACTCACAACCCCGAGATCAAGAGTCGCACACTAGACCGACTGAGCCAGCCAGGTGCCCTTAAGATATATATTCATTTTTAAAAATTTTATTTTACATTTATTTATGTTGAGAGAGAGGGAGAGGGAGAGGGAGAGGGAGAGGGAGGGCACGAACAGAAGAGGGGCAGAGAGAGGGAGAGGGAATCCCAAGCAGGCTCCAAAGTATCAGCCAAAAACCCGACGTGGGGCTCGCAAACTCACAAACCGTGAGATCACAACCTGAGCCAAAATCAAGAGTCAAATGCTTAACCGACTGAGGCACCCAGGTGCCCCGAAGATACATATTAAAGGAATAAATGCACAGGGTGGATGGGCTCTCGGCCTAAAGCGTCACCATTGTGGCCTGGTGTTCTTTCTAGCTACTTTTTAGTTTCTTAGGACCATCTCTGGTATTTTGCAGGAGGCTCGCCCGTAAATGAGCGGCCCCAGCACATGTATCATGTTGTTTGTCTGGCTTTCTTCACAGTGTTTTTTCTGAAACCGGATTTCAGGAACACCTTACTCCAGTAGAACGTCCAGTACAAATCATAAGTGGGCAGCTTTTCTGCAGTTTTATGAAGGGGACATAGCCACGCAACCCGTGTCCAGATCAAGAAGCTGAACATTTCCATGGGGCGCCCGGGGGGCTCTGTCGGTTAAGCGGCCGACTTCGGCTCAGGTCACGATCTCACGGTTCTTGAGTTCAAGGCCCCCGTCGGGCTCTGTGCTGACAGCTCGGAGCCTGGAGCTGCTTCGGATTCTGTGTCTCCCTCTCTCTCTCTCCGCCCCTCCCCCGCTCATGCTCTGTCTCTCTCTCTCTCTCTCTCTCTCTCTCTCTGTCAAAAATAAATAAACATTAAAAAAAAAAAAGAGCATAACGTTTCCATTACCCAG